GCGCGAACGGAGAAGGCCTTACTACTTACAGCGCTGCGAATAAGAAAAGGAATTTGAGATGAATTGAAGAATCGCAACGCGCTGCAAATTATTTATCGTCAGACACTGAAATCAATGACTGTTGGATAATAATTCGTATAAACCTCTCCGGATAGAGTCCCTTTTTTGTTTTTCAAGAAAGTCTGCATATCGGGACGGTTTGTTTCCCGCCGTCGAACTAGTCCTGCGTGCTTTTGACTTTGCGAGGAGATCTTGTAACACTTTGTTTGCTTCTAAACGAGGTGGTGATTAAAAGCTTCTGCTAATACACACCATAATATCCAGCATCAATACCTTGTTTTGTACTTCCAATGTCAAGCTCATCATCTTCAGATTGTGAGCGAAGCATCATTGCACACCATACTACCATTGCTTCCATTTGATGTTGTGTACGCTCATCTTTTGTCATAAGATAATCCTCATCAGTGGTTAACACCATCTGAAATAGAAAAAGGTTTACAGTAAAACCAAAGAGTTGATGTTGATCCACCTCTTTTATGGTGCTACTAACGTGAGCAGCAGGTAAAGACGCTGAGATGTCATTCGCAGAAGACTTGATCATAGCAGCAGGCACTCCCATAGCTGGTGGTAGACTGCGAAGAGTAGAGCATACTGCAAAATACTTGTTAACTAGGTTTTATGCAAAATCTCTGCAACGTTGCACTGATTTGATCAAATCATATCGATGATCGATGGATGGAGGGGGATGTGCATCTTTGTAAACTGTCCGAACAGGGATTTACAAAAAAGTCGAAAAAACTAAGTTTCTTCAAACATAGAACTGAAAACGCGATTCCCACCTTGGCTAGATCGTGGATTCTCTTGTATTTTGCGAAGTTTTCGTAGTTTGGCCTCGCGTTTACTTTCTGTAGCTTTTGTTCCCTGTGAAATAGTCATCTTAAAAAGTTAAATAGAGTAACATAAAGTATCAACTTTGCAGAGGATATTAGAAAAGCTTACTTTCACATTTTCCTGATGTGCAATGGAATGAGTTCCTTGGAATTCATCGGAAAGATTAGCAAACGCCGTAGCAAAAGGTTCCCTATCTTCTATATAATAAAGCAGAAAGTCTGTATGTATGTATGTATGTATGTATGTATGTATGTATGT